CTTCTAGCAATTTTTACATGAAGAGAAATGGGAAGAGTGGTCCCAGGATCTCTCTTTGATATATTTTTCTTTAAAGCTTTAGAATCCCCAGATAATTGAATAAGGAGGACTGATCTGCCTTTCTATTATTCTAAAGACTGTTAATTTAAAAATAGATAATCTGTTCCTGCACTGCATGCACAAGATACATAGACTGTATTAATTTTGTAGGTGCTATCTTGTAAATATAATGAACAGCAAATATAAACCTGAAGCATTTGAGACTTTACTAATCAACCAAACTCTCTGAACAACTTGCAGAACTTTTGAAAGCAGACATCCTACAACCTAGCTCTCAGAGTAAAAGTTAATATCTTAATACTTCAAAGGCTTGCACATGTATGCTTCAAATTTCAAGCAGTCAGAACTGATTTTTTGTGTGTATATATTACCCTAACAGATTACTTACCTGCTTAGTAAGTACAAAGTAAGCATAGAATGCCATGGCACTTCCATAGGTGATAAAGTAAGTAACAGGTTCCATAATATCCCATGAGTAGACCCACCAGGTTAGCCAAGCCAGAGCTCCACCCTGAGTAGACATTAAGGCTAAACCAATCCAGAGAAGGCGAGAAGTCTTCGCATCAGTATCTGCTGCAATTCTAGCCTTCATCTAGGAACAAAACAGCCATGTTATGCCCCAAAGGGTTCAGTTATACTCCTCTCCCACTTGTCATGTAGTATTTAGAACTGCATTTGCAAATTTATACTTCCATATGGAATTTGGAGTTCATCCAAACACATTCTAATAGTTTCTTGAGCATAAAGCTTCCTTTATAAATTCAGTCCTAACACCAATGGTTACTGCTTTCAAGGAAGACATTTCAGAATATGACCTGTGATACATCTTTCGATTTTTTAGACTCTCCCAGATAGTCTTCCAACCGTTTTTTCAGAATAATGTTGTTCTCTGTAGATCTCACTTAGAAAAATGCAGCTATTCAGGTCTAGTTTTTCATCTCATATAACAGATTCAAGATTTAGCTTGCAGGTTATCAATTTCCATATGAATTTATTAAGAATTTTCCAAACCTGTTCTAAAGGGAGCAGTTCTTCTTTCAAAAGTTCCATTTTTTGCAGTAGCTCTCTCTCTTTGCTTGTCTGGTGCTCTTCTAAATGAAGTGCTACAAATAACTTATGGACTGTTGACTTGATGTCATCTATCTCTGTGGCATGCTCTGTGCTCATTTTATCTGAAAGAAGAGTGAAGCCTGTGTCATTACAATTACTTATAACCATCCACACTCTCAAAAGGTATGCAGGGGACTTTCTCCAGAAACAGACTGTCCAAACTTCATGCTATTTCTCCTGCTACTACTGGTTGGACTAAACACATGTATACAATTTGATTTGAATAATTTATTTAAAAGGCAGAAGTTAAAAGCTTTTATGGTGAAAGTAAAAAATATCACTATGGTTTATTAAAGCACAAGTAATTTCAAAGTTTAAATGCTTATGAAAAGATTCAAACTAAGCAAACATTTGAGGATTTAAGGCTGCAATCCTATACAATTTCACTCTCAAGTAAAGTCCCACTAAACTCAGTGGAATTAATTTCTGAGCAGACATGCACACTTAGTTTTCACTGGATTTTAATTTTAAACAGTTTGGTAATCATTAAAGATTCCAGACCATTTCAGGATGGCCATGAAGTTAAGTACCTTTCAGTGGTGTACGCACACTATATTCTGCATGATTGACAATGAGTTTAAAATCATTCATTAACAGAACTTCCATCAATGCTGAATTTGAAATCTTGCTGCCATCTGCAGGAGAGAGAAGGCATTTCAGGGAAAGTAATAAAAGCCTACACAGATTTCTTTTAAAATATATTGCCATGCTGATTGCAGTCTGTTCTAAGCAAAACTTCCCTACAGCAATGTTTACTGGAGTAAGTGGTTTTTATGCCAGTCCTATGACCAGTGAAATCCATAACCTGACTATACATGGATAAGGTGAGCTTTTCTTCCAAAACCAATAGCATTCCTCTTATTCTGTGCATTGGCTTCACAGAATAAGAGGAATGAGTTGAACTTTGTGTCCGGTATGTCATCATCTATTTTTGCTCCTCCACTCCGGGCTACTACCTACATTAAATAAATTAAGACAGCTAACTACTTTCAAGCAAATGTCAATTCAGTACAAGATTTGGAAAGTTTTGACCCTCAGAATAAATTCAGAAATCTTAGAGAACATCTTTTCTATAGATTATTTCTGACCCAGCCCTCTAGAAAAGTCACATTTTTTTCCTCAGGGTATACCTAAGAAGTAGAATTTATAGGGTTTGATTCTTGACCAATAAAGCTTTGAACTATCAACTTGCATGTTAGCTTGAAAGTTGGCCTATCCTAATTGACTGTTAATGCTCTTTTAAATTGCTATTTAATTAAGGTGTTTAACATTGCTTCTGTGAAAGAGTCTCATCAGCCTGTCCTTGTGAACTCCTTACATCCAACCTTACATTTACAGATACTGCAGTTAAAAGTCTCAAAATGAAATCAAAGAAGAAACACCCCAACATATTGTACATCCATCTTGGAAATATTAACTTCAGTGGATGTTAAAGAATTGAAAACTGGTTAAGGGAGAAAGCCCAACAATAGATGGGCTCTTTCAGAAAGACTTGAAGAAATATTTAAAACAGCAAACAAAAAAGATAACCCACAGAATGTTTATGCATTCAGATCTTCCTTGCTTACTAGTGTCATAGAAATAATGTTGAACCTGGATATGGATATTGAACTTCACCCAACATTGTAAATATAGGAAACTTACAAAATTAGACTAATTGTCCATCTGGACCAGTTTTCCTTACTCTTGAGTTTCTCAGTGCAAGTGTCTCTCTATTAGGAGTCCTTTCCCGATCACTTGCAATTTGATCTTTTAATTGGAGATATCTGACATTGTATGTGAAACACATGCAAAACAGTTCATGGAATATGCTTGGAATAAAAGTAATATGGAAAATGCTTGGAATAAAAGGGCCCCAACTGACATGTTCTGAACTGATGATATCCCAGTTGCACAAAACTTGAATCTTCCCCCACTGGGGCTGTGGTCTGCTGTCTAGAACTGCTTTCATACATATAAAGCAGCATGTGATGTCTGTAATCCAAGAACCAAGGACCATCAGAGGGAGACTATGGAGAAAGACGACGGTTGTATTGAATCACGGTTGTGATTCAAGTAGTACAGTCCTGAGAGCTCCCAGTGTGCATCACTCAAATGATATGAGCCAACAAATCAAGCCAGCATGATTCAGGTGAGTCAGTGATTCTGAGTACACCCAAGCAGTTAATGTTTGAGGTCTTGCCTTTTATCAGCTATACGTGAGTAGTGGATGCCAGTGGACTGGAAGGTGAGATAAGAGGCTAGTCCTCACCCCCACTCTAGCAGAAGTCAGGACATTGCATCAAGGGAAGCTTTCCTTTGAAGAAGAAAAGTTGCTCTATAAAGTCCACATCTAAGCATGTGCAGTGGCTTGTCAACATGTCACCTACCCTGGAGAACATTTTCTTGTTCAGGATGCTGGTTGATGGGCAAGAGACATACCACTGTGTCTAAAAGCCTAGTTAGCCTGAGTCCTGGCTGCTTAAAATAGGAGATCCATGTTCTCCCTTTCTTCTGGCTTACTTGAATAGTTCAGAATTTCATCTAGAAATCTCTCTACCAGAGGAGACTGTCATTGCTCATGATGTTCACCCTGGGTAATACAGTCTAGCAAGCACAAAAGCTTGCTTGCCACCCATTGGTCTCAGCGCACAACTTCAATGTGACAGTGGTCTGCCCAATCTCTACTATCTCTGCTATGAACTCTGCTTAAGCTCTTCAGGATAAATTGCTGATGTTCTTATTTAAATGAATTTTCCTTCCTAACAAATGTTTTGAAATAAATATTATAAGTGGTCCCTTATTATATCTACAGCATTCAAAGTTAAGAAAGTAAACTGTTCATCCAACATTACTAACAGCACATGTTCCTGACTATGAGTTTTTTCCCTTGTAAATTTCTTTCCATTGCCTCATTCAGAGCTCCCACTTACTTCTTGCTGCTGAAAGGATGAAAAATTGAAAGAAAGTGAAGGAAAAAAGCAGTAACAGTGAGGGTTGACGCAGATAGATTTTAGTGGGTGTCCTGCCAGGATGTAACCGTGGCACATTTTGAACATTAAGAATGTGTCTTAGACTTTGCAATACCTGTAAAGAGCTGGAACAACCTTGATTTTCAAGGTGATACCAGCATTAGTACCTGCTGTGAAGACTTCTACCTTTTCAATTGCATTATCTTCTCTCTTTATGTCCCGTAAGAAGGTGCCCACAGTTGTTAGCATTGGCTTGACAGTAAACTGGCAACGTTCTTTTCTTGAAGGTAACGTAAGTGTTATCACAGGCAGACCATGTTTATAATGAACAGTTACTTCTGCAAAAAGAAAACAGAAGGGAGAAAGATAAGTATGTGTATGTATGTATGTATGTATGTATGTATGTATGTATATGTGTGGTGTACATATGCAAACACATGCACATACTCCTGTATATCAAGTTTTTTTAAAAAGTCAAGAGTTAAGGCTTATTTTGGGGAAATTGTGAACTTCAGCACATCTTCCTGTGTGCCACTGATAAATTATCTATGAACTCTTCAGTGAAAGAGTAATGTCTAATAATTTAAGACTTAAATTGAGCTTAATTCCTGGTGACTACATTATGTGTCAAGTAGTTTTCTTGGCAACAATATGGAAATGTCTTGCTAGTGCTTTCTTCCACAATATTTTTTCAACTTCCCAGTCTATCTTACAGCCAGGTAGTCTTCCATCCAAGTACTAAACAAATCTTTCTTTCAGCTAAGTGTTGCCATATGACATGGATGTGGGCACAAGTAATGACATCATTCTGGAAGCAGACAGATCCAAATTACAGGATACAGAACATGAATGTTCAAGCTGTACTCCACAGGTGTTTGCAGGAAAGAGATATCTGTGGAAGGGGAGGAGGCTGAATTTTACCCTAGCTAGAACTTATGCTGGATTTAGGCTTTCATGCTAGGGTACAATGCACTCTATACAGACCTATGATTTAAAGGAGGCAGAACCTGCCAGACTTTTAAACTATCAGCCTCAAGGCAGTATTAGTTTTTGCCTTTTGCCTTTAGATATGAGCCTCTCATGAAAGATGAGGAGGGCAGAAGAATGTTATTCCATAAAGCAGTAATTATTTCAGAGCCAACATAAAACCTGCTGGATTCAAACTGCCTAAAATAAAACAGGAATATTTGGGGGTATGCACCTTGAAATTTGTACTATTGGGATATTTGATATGAAAATAACAGTTAGAAACCATACCATCAGGTGGCACTAGAGTGCTATAGAGGGCTCTTCCGTGGTGCCTCAAATTTCCAGTTTGTCTCACACACAGCATCTGGCAAAGAAGATTGATTCAGATATCAAGTCGTTCACCTGAATACCTTCCCAATCAATTCTGTTTTCTCTCATGGAACCCACTGTATGGTTCAGAAGACCAGATATTTGTTGAAGATTCCCATTTTAGAACTAAGTTTGATAAAGGAAAGGGGGTTATTGTGGCGGTGTTGTAATCAGCCATGCTACAAATCTCTTGAGAGCCAAAGGTCTTGTGCCACATTTACCCATTAAACTGCAAAGATTTCTGAGAAGTAATATAAAAGAAACCAATCTAGGCAGCGATATGCAAAATATGACATTAAATTATAATGGGAAAGTTTTTACAGAACATGTAAATCTCACCTAGCAACAAAAGGGATTTAAATTCATAAACAAAGGCACCCAGTATAAACTGTGAAGATGAAAACAATGACAAAATGTGCATTATGATGTCAGAACACACTTCACCATTCACCCCCCACCCTGTTGATAAATAGGATACATGATGTTAACAGCAAATCTTAGACATTAAAAAGAAAAAAAAATCAAGGCCTACCTATGAAAAATTATTGCTCAAGTTGGATCTGTATTGGACTTCTGTGCCAATGCTCAGAAAGGCTGATGAGAGTTGTAGCCCAACACACCTTCAGTGACTAAGGTAGGAAAGACTACTGCATGCCTGGAATACTCATGTTAATCAAGTAAAAATCTGAAATAAGCTTTTGGAAAACAACTGCACTACAGTAGAACTGCAGCTCCATATTCTCAGGCAACAGCTTTTTTCATAGAAAGACGCTTTGGGAGGAATTCATTTTGAGTGTAACGAGGCAAATGAGTTGAATGTCCCTCAGCTTTTTTTCTTTTCACTGAATGCACATTCACAGAATCATAGAGTTGGAAGGCATCTTAGAAATTCTATGAATATGCATTCAATGAGAAGAAAAATAGCTGAGGGGCATTCAAGTCCCTGCTCAGTATAAGAACCAATAGACTGCCTCTGATAGATGACCATCCAGCCTCTGGTTGAAGACCTCTAAAGGAAGAGGACTCAACACCTTCATGTGGCAGTCTGTTGCTGCAGAATCTGTAGTGTGACATTTATTTTAAAATTGCTGAGCACAGTGTTTCTCAACCTTGTCAAGTTTAAGGTGTGGACTTCAACCCCCAGAATTCCACAGCCAGCATGGTGGCTGAGGAATTCTGGAAGTTGAAGTCCACACATCTTAAAGTCCACACATCTTAAAGGTGAAGTCCACATATCTTCTCAAGGCAGAGAAACACTGGCTTAGGGAATGATAGCAATTAATAGGCTTCTCTTTGTTGCATTAAAGATCATTGTACGCTTACAGCTGGCTTGGAACTCAGGCCCATCCTGCACAGTAACACTATATAGGTCTACGGTTCCAGGCCACTCCACTACCATCTCCTTTACCATCTCTCTGAAAACCTCTCCCCAGTTCAGTCAACATACTTCAGTGGTCTTCAAAAATTTAATATACTGCTCTGCACTAGCAAAAATCTACTCACCACACAGGCCACAGCAAGTGTGGCACCACAAACTTTGAAACTCGAAAGAGAGATAGCGATAATCAAACTGCTCTCCAGCTCCAACTTAGGAAGAAGGGTTCCCAACTTTGGCACTCTCTTACACATACACACATATTCTACAGAGATTAAGGATGTGAGAGAAAGCACTGCCTAAAGATTTGCCCTCTAGAAAAAAGAAGAGGAGGCATGACAAACAGGAGTGGTCATGATTACTATTCTTCCTTGGCTGAGCCCATGGATGAATGAAGTTTCTTCAGTATCTATGAAATAAAAAGCCTCTGAATGATCTGTTCTGCGCATCTGATGAGAAGGATGACAACAGGAGCCTGCATAAATGAAAGGACAAAATTCTTGCGCACAACTTAAAACAGAAGCTTACTACTCAGGTTTTTTTTTTAAAGCAGCTAAACTCTCCACAGCAAAACAAACTAAGTTCACCTTTTTCCTGATTTTCTTGATTTTAGTAGCAAAAAATCAGAAGCCTGACAGGACCTTTTCCAACAAGTTTTATTAAAAAATATACACTTTCATGAGCTGCAGCTCACTTCATCTGACATTCACTTATGCCTTTTAATTAAAAAAAAAATAATTGGAAAAGATGTTACCAGACTCCTGATTTTTTGCCATCATAGACTAACACAGTTCTCTTCCTACAATGTCTTATTTTAGTGGGAACTTATATTTTCTGCTTTTGAGTCAATATCCAATTTCCTGGGTTGACAGTATCTTGCTGTCAAATTCTAGTACAGGTTTATTTCATTTCATGCTCAAGTTTTAGCATATTTTCAACCAATACTCTGTTTTCTAAGTAAGGAATGTAATAAGCTCATTTGCTTTATGTAATTCCCATTTGTTTTAAACAACTGACCAGGGTTAAACTTATCTATTGCTTGTGAAGTAACTATTGTGCATAAACATATATACCACAATTCCTTATTCATCATTTTGAATTTGATTTATAACCACCAGCCTCAAAGAAAAAGCACAGCATTTGAAAGGTTGTTTTGAATGCTAGCATGGAATCCAAACAAGAAACTCTGTTTTATAAACTTATACAGTACCATCCCAACTACTGTTAATGGAAAATGCTATTTGGAATATAAGAGATCTGCAGCTTTGCAGAGGGTTGGAATAACTGGTGAACAGTGTCAGTGCCTGTTTCGTACAACTATATCTAATATACTGCTTTATTCTATGTGCTAATTGTAATGTTTCCCATAAGACACACAGTAAAGATTAAGTAAAGATGAAAATTGAAATATTTATTGTTTTCTTTAGAGGGTTTTTACCGGCTCAATTTTACACCAACTTTTCTATTGCTCACACTTGCATAGATGTCTGCACAAACACACACACTTGCCAGAAGGCTCACCAGCTTTAAAAATGCAGGAAGGAAAAGAAATGTATTTTAATTAACAGCCTGTAAAATAAGGTACTCACATTAATTGATCCCACCTGCATATAGTAACCATTCCTTCACACAGAGAAACTATTTTTACATACAGATTTACACACCTATTCCCGACTTTCTATGTATACAAAGGCAGGCAGGTGAGAGATTGGGAAAGGGATGGAACGATTGGACAGGGATGAAAAGAAAAATGGGAAGACCTGTTTAGGGATTACAAAAAGGGTTAAATTTATGGAGTCCTTGGTGCTCTCTGAATTTGGTTGTTTGCAGACATTTCATTACCCAACTAGATAACATCATCAGTGCTAGTGAGTGTGGGGTTTGCTCCCTGTTTATATACA